TGTCCTTCGTATTATCTGTGCTGTTCCCATCTGCTTTATCAACGTCTCTATGGTCTTTAGGATCCTCATGATGTGCTTCTATTTTTCTTTCAGTAGACTTCTGAACATTTGAGTCTTTGTAATCTCTGGTTGACCTTTGTTTCCTTTTTGGTTTTGGTTTTTCTGAATTATCAGAGTCGGCAGAACTGTTTTCTGTCAAAAGAAACAGAATGTTCAACAACACATTCTGCTTACAAGAAATTATTGAAGATAAAATATTTATATTTAGTTTCAGTCAAAAAGTATTCTCTGCACCTGTATCTGTACTCATCCTGTCTGTTTCACTGTTGTCCTCTGAGTAATTCCTAGTTGATTCAGCTTTGCCTTTTGATTTCTGCTCTTCTGGAATAACCAAGCTGGTGCTACTATTATCTATCAATTAAATAAATGAGATAAAGTTTAAGTCAGTCAAGGAACTACTGTTAAATATCAAAACTATAACAAGGTAAAAATTTGGTTAGATCCAGACAATTAGTTGGATTCATACCTGATTCTGAGAACATCTGAAGAACCTGCAGAGCTTCTTCCACATCCCAGTTGTGCTCCTGAAGCACCATCCTCAACTCCTAGACCAGCAACGTCGTCAGAAGTGTAACAATAATAATAATCACCTTTCAGTTTCTCTCTCTTTTTCTTAAACCATTTTACTTTGGGATAATTACCTAAGGCATTCAATGCTTTGATTCACTTGACCTTATGTGACCAACTAAAGATACATTTAAACTAAAAAGAGACATAAAATGGCTTCAGTTTAAAAAGCTAAGCTCCATCAGACTTGCTGTGTGTCTTCACCTCTTTGTCCTGGTCTGGAAACCGTTTCTGGAGTTTTTTCACCATGGCCTCCTGCTTTTCCCAGCTTGGTTCTTCCCCTTCGCCCTCTTCATCAGAGACCTATACAATGAAATTATGCCTAAAAGTCCAAAGCCTTGCGATCTACATTAGGTTCTTAAAGGTAATCAAAAAGCTGTCGTGTTCTTACCAAAGACGGTTTCCGTTTTTTACTCGGCTGAATATCGCCACTGTCCTGAGAACAGCTGGATCCGTCCTGCTTTCTCTTCTTGCCATCATTTGGAGCTGAGAGGACAAATGGGAAGTGATCTCAAAAGAGGTAAAAGGATTGGTATGAGAAGCCTTTAGGCCTTTAGGCAGAGGTTCCTGTTTTGACCTTTTCTGCATTTAAAATATTTGATCTACAGCTTTTTATGAATCTCCATCAACATTTTTTCACTCCAAAAATGTGTGATTTCTGTTCCAAATTTGATTTTAAAGAGAAAGTGAAAAATATTGACCTTCTTTGTCCCCAAATCTTAAAAGGCAGACAGCTATAGCGCCCTCCAACGTGCTCGTACTCCCAGAGACCTGAAAGCATCGGAAAAACAGTGAGCTGAACAAATCAATAACATCAATCATTTCCTTATGCAAAACTAAATTACAGCAGCATTAAATTACAACAATGTTTGATTATAAAAGCTGCGTCTTCATGTCACTCTGGAAACAAATAAAGATCCATTTAAAAAAGAAAGTTATATTAAAACAGTTACAACAATATTCTTATATTATTCATTATTGTAATTTCATAAAATGACTGGGATAAGTCAGTTACATGTGCAACCTCTGGTTTAAATAAGGAGAAGTGCAAATGAGAGAGAGTGAACATCATGGCAGTAGAAGACAATATGGAGAATAAAATTTGATTTTTTTGGTTTTATTTTGCTTTATTGAACAGTAACCTTTGATTGAACCTAAAATAAAAATTAACCTCAAGCATTTTCTCTAAATAAATAACAGCTGGACCAAGTCTCACCTCTACCGCTTCAGTTCTTGACAGTTGGGGAAACAATTCCAGTAGTTTGTTTATCTTCTCATCCATCTCCTCGTCCTCGTCGTCTGCATGAAGTGGTGCTGCACCTTTTGGTAGCTTCTGAACTGAGCTTCTAGAATCAGAAACATCTCTGTCAGACAACAGTCAGCAATGTCAAAGTAATAAAATGCATCATGTTAAATTCATTTGAGTTTACAGGGAACCACATACTTGTTCTTTGAGGTTATTTGTATTTTTGTGTTTGGCTCGGCCATAACATCATCTTCCTCCAAATCTATAGTAATGACTTCTTCAAAAACCACACCTCGTGCGAGGGACTTTGCCTTGGCTTTAAATGATTTCATCTGAGCTGAAAAACAAACGACCACGTTGGCATCTAGTCAGTACATGAGAAAAGTTTTTATTTAAAGTGAATTGCCACTCACAGGCGGAGTTTACATTTAAAATAACCTCTCATGTAGCATCAGCGTTGATGCTAATCTTAAATGTAACTCTGTATTCTTGTTGTCGGGGAGAGAACACGATTTTACTCAGACAATCCAACATGTGCTTTGATGCATTTTGATCACATCTCTGCTTTGCAACGTGAGAACCACATGGACTTATACTCACGTTTAAAATATTGCAATATATCTTTTTACCTGCGTCACTAAGATTAATCGTCACAAAGTCAAGCATTTCCAGTGTTGGCTAACAACAATGCATGCTAGTTTGCTGCTAGTTACCTGGCTCGTTCTCCTTTTCAGAATCCGGACTTTTGGACACGCAACCTGGATCTTTGTTGGCTCCTTTCTTCTCGAATCGAAAGCGGTCTAGATTGAACATGCTCATTTCAGGTAGTCTTATATGTCTGTATCGGAAAGCGGTAGCCCTTTGTCTACTTTTACTCAGCTACTATGTTCTCTGTTGTGTCTAGCGCATCATCATCTACGTCCCCGTTAACTAACGCGACGATCCAGCTAACTAGCGCCAGGTGTTAGCGCACGGGCCAGGAAGAAAATTGAGCGCAGGCGGCGAGTTTTGAGCTTTGTCACTGCTCTGTTTTTGACCGCAGCGCTTTAAAACCAAATTATAAGTAGCGCACTTCATAAAAAACACGACAAAACAAAATCAATACGTGAATAATTTGTGCTCCACACGGCGAAAAGCCGGTTTCCCGCTAAGTCAGGCAGCAAGAAGGAACTGATGATTGGTCAGGAACTCAAGTGGGCGGGAATTACACTATCGGGTCAAGATAGTACTCTACATGGTACTTCCGTTTGGCGTCCCTGCATGGAGAAGCCAGTTAGGTAGTGGGTATGGAGAGCCATATGGGTAAAGTATTTCCAGTGACAAAAGATTTGTTTACTGCATTCACTTGAATTCTAAATGGCACAAACGCCTCAGTAGATAGAAAAATAACAGAAAACCAAGCTCTGTTCCAATAAGATGTCTCGTTTGACATATTTCAGTTAAAACATATTTTTTCTTCATTTAGTGAAGTTACTTACAGTAGGCATAGTGTCCAGAATTTTTTAATTAAGTAGGATTTTCTATAGTTAATGAAACTACTAGACCTAAAAGTACATTTTTTCCCAAAATTTTCTCAAATAAAAGTAACTAGGTCAATGTGAGTAGTTTAACCCCACAATAATAGCAATAACTCAATAACGTTAGGTTAGGGTTAGGGGTTAGACGTCCTGAAACACTCCAACAACAACAAATGATTTGCTGGGTGTGTCAAAGTTCACAATAACAATAATAAGGTAAGTTAATAAATTGTTTGTATTCACCATAATGCCTCAAATGTCTGACGTAGCTAACAGGGACAAGCTTACAAAGATGCTATGTAAACATTAAGTGTTTTGCTTATCTGTGCAGTGTGCAATCTATATATCTGTGCTATATAGATATATATCTATATAAACATATATAGATCTGTCTTTATTGTGCCCAAGCTATCAGTCGGAGCTGAAGTTAGCTTCCGAAGGTAGCATCTAATTCGGAAAATAGCTAAAGGGCGATGACACTTAATTTTTCACTATCTTGAGGTTTTTTAATGTGTTGTACTTTAAAAACAACACCTATACATTTCCTATACATTTCATACTTAACTAGATTATTCTGTACTAACAGCAGAATAAATAAAACATTTGTGAAACCTTCCAATTGATTTGTGAAATTCGTAAAATGTCAATAATAGATTTCAGGACGTTTTTTTGCATCTGGAACGCATTAGATCTGAGTTATCAAATTGACATTATTTGTTATTTTAACTTTCCGTTTTTTCTTTTTATTATAGCTGGAGTTGGACAGTTTGGTGGCTTCCTGGAGGGAGAGATTGGCTGAGCTAATACTGCCATCAACTTTTCTCCTATTAACTTTTTTGCTTTTCTTTATATAAAAAGTATTTCTACCAGTTGCTCTTTTTCCATTTTGTATACAGTATTTGCTCTTTTTTTTTTTTTTACCTTAATGCTTACCTGGTCAGTTGAGGTGGCAATGTACATTCTCTCGATTACTGACAAAATGTCAGAACCACATGGACTGAGCAGGTCTGAATCTTTATTTCTCATTAAAACAACTTCTTGTAATTTTAAGAGATTGTTATAAAATTGCATGTTTATTCTGCTGTAACGATGACTGCATTCTTGCAATTAAAAAATCTTGTATCCTAACCGTAATGCTCCCTTATACAACTCACAGAAATGATGATTGAAATAAAGGCACTTTTTTAAAGTATTTTCTGTGATTTTATTATAGAAATTGACGGCAGGAGAAATTGATTAAAATCAAATCTGGTTTGAAAAAAAATCTTGCAAGTCATATCATCCAGCCTTATTCAGTATATTAAATTATATGACTAACTACATTTACTTAATATTCACATTTCTTTGCTGGTATTACCGAAAAATGTTGCATTTTAATATCTCACTTGAATTCCTGATCTACATGCAAATACTTCATATAATGTAACAGATATTTACAGACTAATTTTAAAGTTGAGTAATTTTTACACTCCTCTGCTCTACTGCTTCCTTTACCAGGAAGAATGAAGCATGAAGAACTCAGTGGATGAAGAGTTCACCCTTCATCCATCAGAACCTTCACTGATCCCACATCACATTACAGCAAGGATCAATAATTTATGTATTAAATGAAATGTTTTTAAGCAGAAAAAAGTTTTAACAAATCAGGCCTGACTCAGCATAAATGCTGTTTCACAGCAGCTTCCTGATAGGAAAATCATACAGATATCCATTATTTATATACACTGCAGATACGCAGACATATTAATTTACAAAACAGAAGAAAAGCAACGTTTACACAGTGTACACCTGGGCATCCAACTGATGATCCACATCAGTCTTCTTAAGGAGTGCCGGTGTGGAGATGGACTTTATGTGTTGTAAAATGTATTTCATGCTTTAGATGTAGAAAAATTATTTTTGGCCATAACAGTTTTTAAAGACTGGAAGTCGCCAGTTTCCATTGGTAGCAGACATTTCTCAGGTCGGGTCATGAGACTGACTGGTCAGCCCATGAGAGGAGTCGGGTCAACGGAGCTGTGTCTGGTCCTGATGTTCGCTGGTTGGTTCTGGACCTGAATAGTCCCTGCAAGACAGAGGACAGACATACAGACAGAGGACAGATAAACAAACTGGGACACATTAATAAATAGATACATTAACTCACCTGTCATTTGAACTTGAAGAGTTTTCTCTTGCAGAATCCTCCCTTGCTTTTCATAAATTATACATTTATATTTCCCTAAATCGTCCTTTGTGAAGTTTTCCAAGGTCAGACTGAGGTCTCCGGTTTTAATGGGGTTTCCTTTCATGTTGGTTTTTTCTCTAAATGTCTTTTGCCCTCCGGGTTGGTCAGATCCATTCTCCCACACATGAATTTCTCTGTATTTGGGTTCAACCTGCAGCCACACCACTTTGCATTCTTTCAGCAGCTCAGCCGTTGTCCTGAAGGGAAGCTGGACGTTTGTGTCCTGCACCTCCACCTGATGCTCTGAAACAAGAAATCAAGATGTTTCATTATTTGAATTTAATCAAAAAAATCAAATCAAAAAATCAAAATTATTTTTTTGAGTTTTTGATTTTGATTTGAAATCAATGATCTATCGCTCAGGCACTGGTTTTCAAACAGACACTAGAATTTTTCAAACCAATTTATAATTTCTTTCATATCAAGAGCAAAACAGGAGTCCAGTAAAAATCTATCAGAATTGAGAAAGCATCCAAGCTGCTCTGCAAATTAGTATCAGCTGTTTTTTTATCAACTCATGGCCAACATTATGGCTTCTGATCATCATGTGAGTCTATGTTACACCAGTCAATTTAAATCGGTACAACCCTAATATACCAGACACATGTACAAATGTTTAGAAGAAAAAGGGATGTTGTGTCATTCTATCTGGGAATGCAGGGAAATTCAGAAGTTCTGATAGCACTATTCTGGAAGAGAACAATAGGACCAAGTATCAAGCAATGCCAATCCCAAGGTGGAGAGCGTCGCTTGTCAGAGAGATGTGCGAGTTCCCCTCCTGGACTTGTTAACTCTTCCCAATCTTGGTTGAATGATTGACAGTTGATGTATGAATATCGGATTCAAACCACTGACCTTCGACACATAGCCCCACTTCTTTCTTCTTCAGGATGGTTCCCTCCTTTCCGTAGACTTTGCAGGTGTAGGTGTCAGTGTCCCAGTCTGTTGGGTATTTCAATGTCAGACTGAAGTCTCCAGTTTTCATCCGGTCTTTATTTAATTCTGTTCGGCATGTGTAGGAGTTCAACCGGTCTTCATGTTGGTCTGAACCAGGTTGATATTTAAGAACCTTCCTATCTCTGCTGTTCATCCATTCCACTTCAATGTCCTTGCAGTTCATCGTATCTTGGGTTTCAAAAGGCAGCCGGACAGACGCCACCCCTGGTTTCACCTCTATTTCAAGGACTGAGAGGAAAACCATCAACATTACATTTACAAGGAGCAGTAGCTTTGACAATAATAATATATTAACAATGACTTGTTTGACGGGGTCTAAAGTACCATTTTCTAGATGTTCAGCAGGCTGAGCAGCAGGCTGACTCAACTGAATCAAAGTTGAAGCTGAAGTTTGAATTGTCTTGCCCAAGGACACAACAGAGAAGGACAGAGCAGGGCTTGAACCGACACCTTGAGATTGGGATATTTCTGATATGAGCCTAGTTAATATAAAATCCTCCTTGTTCAACTAAATCTGTGTCAGCAGAATGACCTTCCTAGAGCATCCTCACATTAGTGGCCAAACCCCAAAACACAACAGGATCAGTATCAGGATGAACTCCTACCACCGTCGCCCAAAAGAGGATGTAAAATTAAACAAACAAAACTCAAATAATGCAATTTCTTATCTCCTCCACTGTATGTTATTTAGCTTTAACATGATGTAAAGCTAAATATTTAGCCTTTCATAATGTTAATATAATTAACTGAAGGTAATTATATTACCTTCAGTTGTTATGCTACATATATCAAATATGACCTAAAAGAAATTTGACTTCCTGATTTAACTCCTTGAAATTGAGCATCTGTCTCTTTAAGAAACTCCTGCTCTTTCTGAAGCTCCGCCTCCAGGAAGTCATCCCAACATGGCTCCTCTTTTAACCCTTAAATGTTTTTATCAGCGTCGCTCTGAGCAGCAGCTCCTATACTGAGCTCAGCAGTTCCACCAGTGGTTTGCTAATTGATGCTGGCTAGTCTGAAGGAGCTGAGTGGAGAAGGAGCTGAGTGGAGAAGGAGCTGGGCCTAGAAGGTGGAGCTACGTCCCCCAGGCAGATATCTTCATAATGCATTTTGTGTTATATTTTTCAGTCTGCTAATTTTTCAATATTGCCTATAACATTTTCTTGTCTATGACGTCACCGCACCGGTGACTGAGGTGGTAGAAGTTTGTCCTGTAACAGTTGGGCCTGAATGACTTTGTGTAGTCTGAAGCGCTTTGGGATACTCTGGACAACATAAAACATTTTAAGAACAGGCCTTACCACATTTCTTTTAGCAAATTTTTTGGTTCATTTTCTTAGATATTTGTTTTGATCTTTTACTTATTCAGTTATTTGATTATCTTTATCCATTACAATTGCTTCTTTTGTTCTTGTTTTTGCCCTTTGACATCTAAAGATCAGGAATTGAACCCAGGCTGCGTCTACAACCAGAGCCTCCATTTAAGGGAGCTCAGCTGAGGATTTGCTTAGCTGTTCTTTCTGAAAATTTTAAGTCAATATTTAAAGTAAAATGTTATTGTAGTTTGACATTACAAACAGCTGTCCCGTGTTTCCACCACTGACCTTTGACATGAAGATCAACCTCCCTCCTCAGGAGGATTTTTCCCTCCTTGTCATAGACGGTGCAGGTGAGGTGGTCGGATTCTCTCAGATATTTCACTGTCAGGCTGAGATCTTTATCTTCTAGGGGATTTTTCTTCATCTCTGTTCTTTCTTTATAATACCAGTGTTGTTGATTGGGCTGATAAGAACCATTCTGAAACACATACATGGTCCATTTTTTCTTGTCCCTCCACTCCACTTTAGCATCTTTAGGAAGGTCAGCTGAGATTTTAAATGGCAAGGTGACAGACTCTTCTCCTGAATCCGCCAACACCTGGTCCACTAAGAACACAAAGAAGAAGAATGCTGTCTTCACTGAAACTGGTACATTCTGCTGTGTGCTTGGTCAGAACCCTTCATGGACTCCAGGTTCATCAGAAACATTGGAGCTTCTGAACAAAACAGGTTTGAATAGAATCGTTGAAAGCTGCACGTGACGTCATGCTCACCAGAACCCCGCCCACTCCACCATGATGGACGTCAAAACAACAAAATGCCTCCTTTAAGCTACTCTAAAAATATGTGTAACTTGATATCGCTTCTGTAGTTTATTTCACTTCGAAAATGTTCACAGGGTGCTACGCGGTCGGCTGCACAAACAGACAAGGATGAAAACCAAGCTTGTCATTTTGTAACTTTTAATGTTAATGAAAGATGCGGCGGTGATGGACTGCAGTCGTCAGTCCTATAGCTCTCGGTGTAACCGCGGATTTACAGCAAACATTTTTTACAAGGTAAAAAGATTAACGTTCATTTAATTTATAAGTAAGTATAATTAGAAAGATATCAAATATGGCATTATGGAAAAGATATGCGCCTAACCATTGGACCATGGGACAGTGCCGCACCGTCATGTAGCCTAGCATGTATGGGAACAACTGGTTAGCATCTCGTCTTTTATACGTTTACATTGCTGCTCCGGTTTAAGGACCTACTGCCATAAATCGTGGTGTGAATTCAGGCAAAGTTGGTAGTTTGATTAACTCGTCAGGAGGGAGGAGGTTCGGGTCGGTTTCTAAGCTAGCTTCTGTAAATCCCACCGTCTATGAGCCCAACCAGGTGAGCTATGTTCAGACAAATTAGCTCGACTCGAACAAGAAGAAAGCATAAAGAAAGTGACAAAAACAACTTGAGAAAACAACTCAAGTCGCTCAGTTCCGATGTCCATCATGCGCCTCGAACGGTTGACGTAGTTGCGGTCTTATGGCTTCTGCAGCTAACTGCTGCATTATGGTCTGTTTTGCTATATCTGTTGACATGAACAAAATGCTTTCAGTGTATTTCCCTTTAGAGGTAAAGCTTGGCTCAAAGATATCAAAACAATTTGGAAGGATAATCAAGTGAAAAAAATAATAAATTGAGACTCTGGCTGACTCAAAAATTTTAATATTGCTTTCAGTCAGAAGGAACATGTTGGTAAATTTTAAGATTTTATAAAATTATAATCTGCCAGGAGGGAGTATGAATAAATTTGGGCTTTACTAATTAAAAATAATGTAAATCTTATTTCGGTTGTAAGGTAGGCTTTTATTGATACTGGAATAATTTTATTATATATTCTTTGATAATCTCAAAAGTATTGAAGCTGTTTATCTTGTAAAAGAAGAACAAGTGTTGGAGCTCCTTTGTTTTTTTAGATAAAAGGTTTCAGGTTAAAACTGATTTCAGAAAACAATGATGTTAGATTTATAGCTTCAGCACTGACCTTTGACCTTAAGCATCACCTGTTTTTTCTTCAGATCCTTTCCCTTCCTGTTGTAGACAGTGCAGGTATAGGTGTTTCTGTCTGCATATGAGGGGTACTTTAGGGTCAGATTGAAGACCCCAAGCTTCAGCCAGTCTTTATTCATTTCTGTTCTTCCTTTGTAAGCCTTGTCTTGGTCATTAGATGAGTCCAGACCATTCTGATAAACATAGACTTTCTTTCCACGGCTGTCTGTCCACTCCACTCTAACATCCTGAAACACGTAAAATGGAAACCAGCAGCGCAGCAGGACAGACTCTGATCCTGATTCCACCTTCACGTGGTGAACTGTGAGAACAAAGACCATCGTTAGATGTTGAAAAGTACAGAAATACCAGACTTTATTATACATTTTATTTGTATGTGCCTTTTTTGGCACTCAAGATCAATTTACATAAGATAGCATAAAAAATAATCCTGTATGAAGAGTAAGCATTGATATTCCTTCATGTTTTGATCTAAATTTGGTTTGTGAGAAATGAAACATGCTCAAATAAAACCAAATATCCTAATATTGCTCACACCCTGTATGAAGCAACAGAGCACGTTTACCATCACGCAGTGTCAAACTCACCAGATCTAGGATAGAAATAATACCAATAGATGCATCCTCCAACAACCACCAACACAAGAACCACAGATATCAAGAGTCCTGAGGCCCATGTTGGAAACGGCTCTGTAGAAACATCAACATTATAATTAATGAAGAACGTTGTGATCATTTAGACTTTATATGCCGCAATGGACTCAAATGATTATTAGTGTCAAACTGAGAATCAGCGGCATTGAAAATCTAGACTTGTCCTGTTTGAATGTTTAGTTTCACTGAGAGCTCACTCTGATTGCCCAGCTGGTGTAGTGAATAAACTCTGTAGAACATCAATGTGATGGCATGTTTCATGTTTTTCATGAAATGTATTATTTAAACCTATCCATCCATCTTTCTTCTACTTAACCGAGATCGGCTCATGAGGGCAACAGGTGCAGGAGTTTCTCTCCTCATGAAGCTAATCCAGCTCATTATGGTGAATCCCATTACTTCCCCAAGCCAGATGCTATATACATTTTCCCTCCAATGAGTTCTGATCTTCCCCAGGGTCTTTCTTCATATCTTCTTCAAATTTCCCTGATGTCCCTGTTTTGCTCCTGAAACCACAGAAGCAGCTGGGCACCTGGTACCTGCCAGCTGCTTTGGAGTCAGCCCGGCCCTAACGGTTTTCAGCCAAATGTCCGTACTCAGATTTGCTCCTTCACTTATCAGGGGGGGCCCAACTTTGGTAGTTTGACAAAAAAAAAAAATCAAACGTTAATAATTTTGTAAATAATAAATTACTACAATTGTTAATAATTACATAAACCAAGCACTGTTGCCAATTACTCTTGCTCTACACCAAGGGCGTAGGTTCGGCCTAAGTTTTGGTCGGGACTTTTTCATATCCCGTGAATATTGGTCGGGACATGTCCCTACCTTCCCTACCCAAACCTACGCCCATGCTCTACACATAGCACCTCACCCTAACATTCGTTTCTACGGGTCAGGGGCATAAGTAGAAAATGTAAAAATTCCTGTGTCTAATTGGATTTAATGAGATGTCCATTAAAACGCTTAAGCTATTTATTGTGACTCAGAGTGAGTCATTTTCATCAATTAAAAAAGGGTGTATCAAACCATCTGTCATCTTCTGTAGACATTTCATTCATTACAAAATTAACTCGACTTTATCTTTGTGTGTTAAAATAAATTAAATAATAATGTACTAAGCACTCTGTGCAGCAGGTTTTTGCTCTTTTCCAACAGCCTTTCTCTGTATGAAAAGCTCTGACCTTCTGCGACATGGTGCAGTACCACTGTCTGCCTCAGGATGTCCTCGTCTCTGTAGACGGTGCAGATGTAGCTGCCATTGTCTCTCTCTGTGGGGAACTTCAGGGTCAGGCTGAGGTCACCGGACCTCAGCAGGTCAGCGTTCATCTCAGTGCGGCCGCGGTAAAGGCCATCCTGTTTGGTGTTGCGTTCACTTGTGTTGGAAAACACATGAACAATCCTAAAATCTGGATCAGAACGGATCCACTCCACCACTGTGTTCTCCTTTAGGCCAGCTGTGGTTTTACAGGGCAGGACAACAGACTCCGCCTTTTCATTCACCTTCACCTCTATGAGGTTGTCTGAAAGAGAAACAAAATACAGCATAACCAGCACTGCAAAAATTACATTCTGGTAACATCAACTTTAAACGTTGACACTCAACTTAAAACAGCCGATTCCCACTCTGATTTGGTCCCTGAAAGGCTCTGGTGATCAAATGTTTTCAGAGGATCATAAGTCCATTGACTGTTAATTGGTCTCTCTAAGCAGCCCTCAGCTGTCTCCGTCCATCCTGTGATGGACTAAAGACCTGTCCAGGGCGGATACCACCTCTCACCCAGAGACCAGTGAAGTTACACACTGTGGTTCCTACAGCATCAATGGGTTTAGCTAATTAATGAAAGTAAAGTTTGATGGGAAGAATCTGAACATTCTTCCCTCTGCAGAGAAGAATCATGAAAGCTTTGAGCAGATCTGGAGGAATTTCAGGCAACAGATTGTAACCTCTGGCCCCTCAGAGGGTTCTGCTTCAAGAACCATCATCAGCTGGTTGGACCTGATGGAATCACTCTAGAGAACCTTCATCCAATTCTACAATCCCAGACTTTACTGAGCAGAGAAGAACTGGATGTTCTTCTCTGAGGATGCAGCTTCCCTGAGATGGACCTTCACCTGGTGGGAACATGAATCAGATGGATCCTCTCTCCAGATGTTTGGTGGAAAAGGAGCATCCAGCCTTTTATCAGCCTCAGTAACCTGAAGCCAGACTCTGATGGTAGGCTGGCTCATGGTCTGGGCTTGGCTTATCTCCTCTTCTGTGATGCAGAAAAGTCCAGCAGAGAATCTAGA